AATGTATCTTAAATATACCTTTGTGGGTTTTTTGTTTTGTTTTAAGGCACGGTCAAGGCTGGAATTAAGGGAGAAATCTACCAGAGAAGATGCTGAGGATGTAATAGAAATAATGAAATATAGGTAATATACACTGCTTTAAAAATAAATAAAGCATCACAGTGCTATTCATTCAAAACTTTTTTTTTTAAACACAGATATACAAATACAGTGAAGAAATGACCTGATAAAGTTTAGGCCCATGATACCAATATTCAGATTTGTTAGCTCTTCTTTAAAACTGACAGCAGCCCTAAGCTGAATACAGTTGCTTAGGCCTTTGAGTTGTATCATTGTAGTGGTTATGTATACCCATGCATATAACTTAAGGCATGGGGTGCTGCTAAAGGTTTGGGTTTTTTTCTCTTGTGTGATTACTTTCTGTTGTTGCAGTTGAATGATTTAAGTTCAAAAGTGTTTTGGACAGATGCTTAGTCTAAGTTCCCTAGATAGTGTCTTTCTTACTAGGGGATGGTTTCCTATGTGGCTTCTGGAAGCTTTCTCAAGCAGTTATGTGTCAGGAAGCAAATTAATGTACTCTTGCTTTTATCTCCTGTTGATATTTTTTTAATATGTATTTTTAGCATGCTGGGAACCTACTCTGATGAGTTTGGAAAACTGGACTTTGAACGTTCACAGCATGGATCTGGGATGAGCAATCGGTCACAAGCAAAAAGATTTGTTTCTGCCCTTAACAGTATTGCGGAGAGAACTTACAACAATCTCTTTGACTTGCAACAGCTTCGACAGATTGCGACAGAGCTACAAATACGAGTAAGTTTGGAAATCAAGCATTTCTTCAAGAACAAACTGCAAGACCAGTCAAAATTACTTATTGCAAAATGGAAAGTGGAAAAGGCATATCTGTCATGCCTCTCTGCAATGAACAGAAATAAGCAGCGTTTGCTGCTTTTAGACTGAACAATCTTCCTGAATTGACTTTGTCAGCTTTATTAATCCTACTAGCTGTTTGGCAGTAACAACTCTTTGCACTAGTAAGGGCTGGTTCTGCTTCTGAAGCTGGTCCTTAACAAGATTCTGCTTTGTTTTGTGAAAGGCAATTTTTGTTTCAGTATACTTTACTTCCTCTGGCTCCCCAGGGGACACACCTATTTTTGTTCCCAAATTTAGACTGTTGTGATTGTGACTGTCCATGATCTATTTCAGCAGTGCAGTGACATTTCTGCTTGGCCTTCTCTGGCCCAAATACGCCTTTTTGAGTTTTCATTCCTGCTTCAAGCATCCTAATGTTGTAACTTGATAGGAATATTGTGTAGGACACACGGCCACAAATCAGTTTTATCCTGTAACTGATTTGCATTCTGTACTTGTGGGGGACTTCAGCCAAACAAAAATATTGGTAGCTAATTCTACTTTTTGCTTCATGATAAAAATCTTTAAATGCCAATTTAAAACTTAAAACTGGATTTCAGGTTTAATGAGTGAAAAGTAGTGATAATGAATTTCTCTTTATGGGCAATAATGTTGTTCTTATTGCCTGGTTAACCTACTTTGGCCTGCTGGGGCGAGATAGCTTCAGTCTCCAAACTTGTTCAAACGTTGACAATACATAATCCTGTCTGACATAATGTGTTATTGTCAGCTCTCTTCTCACATGATCATTCATTCATCCAGCGACTAGCTACCTATATAGCTAACTCAATTAATTCTAATTTTCCCTTTATGTGTAGAATATTTCTTGCCCATTCAAAGTTCTATACCTGTAACAAATACTTGGAAATCAGTGAGAGTTGTAGAAATCAAACTTTTCTTTGGTAGATACTTGTGTTTCAGAACTTAGATTTATATACAGGTTACTCTGTATATTTTTTGCATGCTATGAAGTGTGTAAGTAAAGCACAAAAGCGTGCAACTGACTGTATGCCACCACCTAGTAGGCCAGCCATTTGCTAAGGAAACTAACCTCTTCTTAGCTCGCTTTATTTCACTAAGTTATTTCAAACTGTTTATGTTGCTTTACATCAGATAAAATGTCATTCTTCCAATTTGATATTTATTTTTGTCTGTCTTTTCCCAGGTATCTGATTTTGAAAGCTTTATTGGATCCCTAAATGATCAGGGTTATCTTTTGAAAAAAGGTTCAAGAGTTTATCAGCTTCAGACAATGTGAAGAGAGCCATTGTGATAAACTTTCTTGAGACATAATTGTTACATCCAGAATGGACTGATGGACCTGCAGCAATAAAGCACACTGAACTGCAGCGTAGCACAGTAGTTGATGCTCTGCTGGCACGGTCGCTTACTGAGGTGTGGGACTCCCTTTCAGAAACTAGCAGTTGCCTGCAGGCTTGCTTTAAGCTGCCATAGGACAAATTGACATGTGGTATTGCTGCTTGACTCATTCTGTAGGTCTGCTAGCCCAAATGAGACTCTGTAAGACTAGCATGTACTTTATCCACCTTGAGGAGTGCATAGTGTGTTTTATATTGACATTATCACAGTGCCATAACAGATTCTACTTCCAAAAGAGATGTTGGACCCACAAATTTAAAACCAGAAATCTTTTGTGAGAAGATGTGAGTTGCATTTTTAGCACTGTAGTTCATTAGAGGAATTTAAAGTATAGAAATGTTTCCAAAAAGTCAGAAACCTTCATGTTGAGACAACACAGTTTTATAGCTGTTAAGAAGTGATACCTTATTGAAACTGACTTGATTTTCTCCTTTGCAGCTCTGTGTTTATTGGTCTTTGTAGCTGAGATTTTATTTGAAACACAAGTCTGATTTAAGAAAATATCCTTATTACAATATTTAATTTGTAAAACAGGAACTGGATTTTATTTAGGTCTTTCATTAAACTTTTATATAAAAGAAATCTGTGATTTGTTCAAGAGCATTATACAGTAACAGTGAACACTGGTGTGGGTGTTAATGGCTGTTACCAGATATGTTAACATGAACATGTTACATCTGTTTCTGGGTAACTCTGTTCCTGCTGCAGAAGAATGTGTGTTCTGCAAGAGAGTAAAGTGCTGGATATTTCCTGACTTTTACAAAATTGGAATCATGGTCTAGTGCAATAAAATGGCAGATGAGAAGCTTTCAGTCTAAGTATTTGGAAAAAAAAAAATTCAAGCATGCATTGCTGATACTTCTGTTTTCCCTCCTTTATTTCTAAGGTAAAATATGATACATAAATTGTAAGACAAGAAAATAAGCTTCATCGTTTCTGCTTTTTTAAGTGACATAAGCATCTGATCTACAGCATGCTTCCACAGCAATTTTGTATGAAAATACAAGCTTTATAGATTTGAAAGAACATGTTAAACTGCTTAATGCTACCTTAGTGTGAATCTACTTCAATATCTAATTTGAAGGATGGGATGCTTAAGTGAAAACTAAGCAGCTATAGCTCTACACATGAACTCAAGTGGCAAGTAGCCTGCTCTTTCCAGGTTGTGTTTGCTCATGCAGGTAACTGTGGTCAATGGCTTTTTTTTTTAAATGTATGAACTCTCTGTCTACATGTGCATACAGTAGTTGTCATCTGTCCATGAGAGCATTTGGGCAGCAGAGGAGATGCACCTTCCTGTAAACTGGGAGTTAATCCTACATGAGGAGGCAACCTACTCTGTCACAGCTAATGGGAAGCAGGTGTTATATGTTGATTTCTTAACCTTTGCTAGCAGCTTACTGCAGAGTTTGGGGTGGTTTTGGTTTGGTTGGGGTTTTTTTGTTTTGTTTTCTACTTAGAAGAAATCTTCTCAGACTTGCACAATACAACTAGGGCATAACGGGTAGAGGACAGAACTGGAATTTCTGCCCTCCCTGCTCAATGTCACCATGTCCAGGTGTGGTGCTGAACTTTACCAGGTTCCTGCCAAACCAATTCTCTGCCTGTTGAGGTCCTTCTGGACGGCAGCAGGACCTCCTCCCTCCCGCCCCAGCCCCGGTGTATCTGCCACTCTTTTGTGTCACCTGTGCCCTTGCTAATGGTGCACCCTGCCCCAGCATCCAGGTCATGTTCTTCTAGTCCTGCCCTTGCCCTCCCCACATTTAAAAAATAATGATTAAAAAAAATATCTAATTGATGCAGTGGAGGAATTAATAAATTAAGTCATACACATTTTAGCTACTCTTGATTCTTTCAAACAGCTGTGGAAGAGGTAAAGTTAAATATCGTACATTCGACTGGTTGGGTTTTTTTGCTTTCCTTTGGGGTTTTTGTTTGTTTGTCTTTCAGTTGGTTGGTTTGGGGTTTTTGGTTGGTTTTATTTTTTGTTTGAAGAGCCTCCCTTTGTTTTGCTAGTTATTAACTGTTGTGTGTAATTAAAGCTGATTGAACACCTGGGGCTCAGGCCTTAGCTGGATGATAAACTGATGCCAGAAACCTGAACCATACCAGCGTCTCTGGGCGTTAGGGAAGGTGGGCAGGAACAAGCCTCAGACGCAAACAAGTGATTGCACCCAGAAAAGTAAATTCTTCTCCTTGAGCTAAAGTAAACGTGAGCGAGGGAGGGAGGGCGAAGAACAAGTACCTAGAACAAGAGACTTCTTAAGTCCTCTCAGGAGTCTCTTACGCTAAAGCAAACCTTCACCTTCCTCCGTTAAGGGCTTGCAAGAGAACAGCTGGAGCAAAAACGCGCGGCCCCACGGAGCCGCCCTGCCATGCCGCCACAGGCGCCGCCGTCCGCGCCCGCGGCCCCCGGGGGAGAGCCTCGGCCGGCAGGTAGGTAGTCCGGAAAACAGCGGAAAAGCGGGTTGCCCCTTATTTCTCCTCACAGCTGGGATTTATTTTTTAATTCGGCCGCCGGGGGTGGCGGCCTGCCGTAAAGCGCGCGGCCCGGCGGCGAGGGGGCTGCCGTAAAGCGCCGCAAAAAAGTCGCGCGTCCCCCCCACCCCTCGCCGCACACGCACCGCCTGCGGCTCATA